AATAGTTATAAAAATAAACTTAAAATAGTCACATTTTGTTTATGTTTGCCATTTTTGGCCGACCACGTCATCTTTGCTTGTTGGATGGATCAGAATCTAAGAAAAATTAGTGTAACGTGATTCACTTTTCAAATAATTACTGATTGCATGCATTGACATTGCAGTCCTCTTATGAAGAAAAAACAAAGTCTTCATAGAAACTAGTACATATGTACTGGTATGTTACTATTAGGGCTGGGAGGGGTAGCTCGGGTACCCGGGTCGGGTGGGTACTGTGTAGGACCCGGGTACCCACAGGACTACCCGGACCCGTGATTAGTCACGTGATATATTGTTTAATGACAAAAAGTATCTAGAACTCTATGGTTACACTACAAGTCACGAATGTTCGCATTTCTTTCTGACTATGCACCCATTCCTTCTGACTTTTCATATGGTTGAATAAAGATATAACTTAAGTCAACTTCAGTGTATACATGACCAGATTGTTTAATACATGTATCCAAATACGTTTTGCCAGGGCTATGGTAAAACAAAATGCCCAATTGGACATTTTGTACCTGTCTCTCGAGACCTACAGCGGGTACCCGGATAGAGTCGGGTAATAGAGCAGTGGGTCCCCGGGTAGTAAATTCGGACTCGTCCCAGCCCTAGTTACTATACCATATTTCCTTGATCATATTGATTTACCGGTAATGCTTGGGTAAGGGGTATCTGAAGACAACAAATGCTGGGTCTTGATTGAACACCAGATTATATGCCAGGCCATGATTAAACGCTGGGGAGTATTTCAACTACTGTGTGTGTACATTGTTCCTGCTAGAGTCTATAGTACCTAAGATCGGTCTGAGCGAGTCATTAGTCTGAAATTGAAATTATGAACTTTGGGCATTAATGAAATCTGGAGATAAAGGGTGTCTGAAAGAAATATATCACCAGGTTTTTAATCAAGGGAATACTGTAAGCATAGTCTAAGCAGCCTGCTCTTACAGAATTACCATGTATTTTCTGCCATGAACTTAGTGACCTAAACAACCTCAAGCCAAAGATGAAGAAAAAACCTTTCTAAAAAATACACAAATTTGCAGAGTTTTACATTGGTTGAAATTCTCAGACACTGACGCTTGTTGTCCAGAATGTCCTAAAGATTATTTTGATTTCTTGTGAGATACATCTGATTTAGAAGACTATCCTATGAAAAGTTCAAAAATAGACAAAGGCCTTGAAAAATCCATTGACAAAGGATCTGTTTGTGACAATGCTTCATTAAAATATATTCTCTTCATGGGTCACCAAAATAGAATCGTTCACTGGACATGCTAGATGTTCTGAAGAAAAATGTTTGGCATCTTTCAGAGAAATAATTGTTGGTCTTGATTCACTGTTGAATTGCTGACTTGAAGCTGACTCGACCTGCCTCCCAGTTTGAAGACTTTCCAGATAAGACATGGCCACACCTAGCTGAGTAAGACAGGGCCACACCTAGCTGAGTTAAGACATGGCCACACCTAGCTGAGTTAAGACAGGGCCACACCTAGCTGAGTTAAGACATGGCCACACCTAGCTGAGTTAAGACAGGGCCACACCTAGCTGAGTTAAGACAGGGCCACACCTAGCTGAGTTAAGACATGGCCACACCTAGCTGAGTTAAGACAGGGCCACACCTAGCTGAGTTAAGAAAGGGCCACACCTAGCTGAGTTAAGACAGGGCCACACCTAGCTGAGTTAAGACAGGGCCACATCTAGCTGAGTTAAGACAGGGCCACACCTAGCTGAGTTAAGACAGGGCCACACCTAGCTGAGTTAAGACAGGGCCACACCTAGCTGAGTTAAGACAGGGCCACACCTAGCTGAGTAAGACAGGGCCACACCTAGCTGAGTGAAGACAGCCATGCACCAAGATGTGATGGATGACTGGTTGTATTTGTTTGTGTCTCGTGGTAAGGGGGGGAGGGGCGGGGGGAGGGGCGGGGGGAGTTATGGGTTTGATTGAGACAAATAGGTTACCGGTATACCTTGACTTGCAAAACTGGACTTCCATGGGACTCCCAATAATTAATTTCAAGGGTCCTTACCATGCTTACTGGACATTTGATTGTCCTGTAATCTAATAAGATGGTGTAGTGTACTGTACTATAAGATTTAAGAATTTAAGAATAACAGGACCTTTGTTTCATGTTAAGAATTTGGTGCAATGAATATTGCTGTGTGTCCAGGGGGATACACTATATCTTTTGTTCTAAGTCCATTTTATACATTAGTGTGTACTGGACACACATTTCTGCAACGTGTAAAACCCTGGCGATAGGACATTTGAATGATTTTATCAACTATTGATAGGACTTTCTTCTTTTATTATCGTGGCCAAATTTGAAAAATGTCTTGGTTAATTAATGTCCGAGAAAATGAACTGATCTGAACCCGAAACTGTTGGCCTCTTGTTTGCTTCTCCACTTGACTATATTCCCAATCAATAACATTTTGAGACTTTAGCATTTTGCCTTTGTAACCTTAAGAATAAATAATATAAATTTGTCTTAGTCATTTTTGAAAGTAAACATGAGAGCTAGAATGGCCTTGTGGCACACCCTGCTCTGGCGTATCCAGGTGTGTGCGCGTGTGAGTGCATGTGTGAGTGCATGTGTGAGTGTGTGTGTGAGTGCATGTGTGAGTGCATGTGTGAGTGTGTGTGTGAGTGCATGTGTGAGTGCATGTGTGAGTGTGTGTGTGAGTGCGTGTGTGAGTGCATGTGTGAGTGCATGTGTGAGTGTGTGTGTGAGTGCATGTGTGAGTGCATGTGTGAGTGTGTGTGTGTGAGTGCATGTGTGTGTGTGTGTGCATGTGTGAGTGCATGTGTGAGTGTGTGTGTGAGTGCATGTGTGAGTGTGTGTGTGTGAGTGTGTGTGTGAGTGCATGTGTGAGTGTGTGCATGCACCCCACCTTACATGTTACCTATTCCGTAGGTCAAGTCACTTTGTCTTTCAAAATTCTAGATCCAACTCCTGTGTGATAGGGAGATACTGTCTCAGTTTAATTACAGTATTTATTAACTGATAGGTCCATCTACATAATACACTTTGAATACATAAAAGTTGTTTGTGGTGCCAGATTGCCAGAGCCAAGTAAGACGAGTGAAGAACATGGTGTTTTCTCACAATGAATAATTGGACGCATTGCACTATCATGTTCAATTTCAGTTGTATTATCATGACTAAGAGACATTTATGCCAGCAATGTTAAATAAAGAGCAAACGCTAAACCAACAGTAGGTTTATCTGATTATATATTATATGTCGGGAATGCTAAGCCAACAGTAGGTTTATCTGATTATATATTATATGTCGGGAACGCTAAGCCAACAGTAGGTTTATCTGATTATATATTATATGTCGGGAACGCTAAGCCAACAGTAGGTTTATCTGATTATATATTATATGTCGGGAACGCTAAGCCAACAGTAGGTTTATCTGATTATATATTATATGTCGGGAACGCTAAGCCAACAGTAGGTTTATCTGATTATATATTATATGGTACCTGTCGGGAGTCTGGGCCCAATAGGTCCCTACAGGCCTCACTATTGTAACTGGAGAGCCAAAGTTCATTGGTTCGATCCCCTTGCTGCATTGCATTATTCCAAAAGACGTTGATAGATGGTACTTATTGTTATCCTGGGGATAAAACAAAAACTGGGCTGAGGCTTGGGAGTCAAAATGTGTTAAAGTGGGGTATCCATGTGAAACTGCGGCATGGTATATCAGTGGGCTAGCACTATATCAACAGTGTTAATCCGGACTAGTACGAGCAGCCACACACGCGCACGTTAGTTCGCAAACATGCATGCACGATGTTTTATCAGTGCAACGTTAAACCTGATTTCACCTCACCTCACTATCATCCGCAGTGTCCCCTTGACTGGTATTCTGGAAGTTCATGGGGTCCCCAATCATGCCAACCCAAGTCCAGACCGACTCAGCTGTGTGATCATTGATAGCATGTTAAACCTGTAGTGTGTTTTATCCAAGCACTTCACAGTCTGTTATTACTCCGCTAACTCCGAAGTAAAGAAGTTTCCTTCTTTCTTTTTGTTACAAAAAAGGAAAACAATATAGAAGAAATGTTGTTGGGTTCACTTGAGCATGTTGAGCCTAATTTCCTATTATTTATGTGTATTGTAAATATCATGTCTTACCAGGCTTGCGTAATACAATTATTAATTCCTAAAATATGATATTTAAAAAACAGGAAGGCCTGAGGGTAATATTCTGTTTATCATATAATGTTATTTTTGAAATAATTGAAGTAACATATCTATTTTCTATCATGGAAGTAACCTTTGTTGTGTATTATCCGATACTAGAGTTAGCAAAGGGCAATGTCACACTCATTTTCCATCTCTCTACAGGGAACCACCACAGTTCTGATATTCCGCCAAAAGTGTTACAGCCATTTTTTTTTTCTCACATTGTAAACCCCTTTCCTAACCCACTGGAAACTTTAGAGCGTGTTGGCATCACATCACATGGGGGCGGTCGGGTAGCCTAGTGGTTAAAGCGTTCTCTCGTCACGCCAAAGACCCGGGTTCGATTCCAGACATGGGTAAAATGTGTGAAGCCCATTTGTGGTGTCCCCCGACGTGATATTGCTGGAATATTGCCAAAAGCGGCGTAAAACCATACTCACTCACTCACTCACATGTATGTGGTTCATGACACACTGATACAAGTAGTTCCTACTAGGAGTTCTCGTGTGCAGCATTATCAGATGGTGATCAGTTTATTGGATTGGTTTATGGCATTGATGACAGTATCTACTACATAATCATGAGGATAAATACGAAAAGAAATGCAAAATACACATTTTCATAGATTCAGATTTTACATTTGTAAAATTTAGGTTAGGCATTCGTAAAAAAAAATGGAAATATATTGGTCTAGATCTGGCCGGAAGTAAACAAATCCATTCAGTTCAATGAATTGATATTTGTTTGTTTGTTTCAGACCACAAAATGGCACGAGTTGTTCCGGAACAGGAACAGAGTTCAATCCCAGGAATGGAGTTCATCTATGTAACGGAAACAAAGATCAAGTACATCAACACCAAATACAAGAAGGTCACGGAACAGATGTATGACCACAATTGTGACGTGAAGCTCAAGGTCGCTCAGAGCAGCTTCAAGGCTCACAAAAATGTACTGATGGAGGCGAGTGATTACTTTTCTGCCATGTTCAGCCATGACATGAAGGAGAAAGAAAAGGGAGTAATAGAGCTTCTTGATATCAGCCCGGGAGGGTTTTCTGTCATTTTAGATTATTTCTATCATGGTCATGTGACTATTGATCGGGATGTGGTTGCTGATGTGTTAGAAGCAGCTCGATTCTTTCATGTTGAATGGCTGATTGAAGTCTGTTGTGAATACTTAGTGCGCCATCTAGTGCTCGACGACTATGAGGAAGTGCTGCACTTGGCAGAACTGTTTTCACTTGGTAATCTCCAACCTGACATTTTTCGATTTTTGGCAGACAATATCCTGAAACTGATTGAAGACCCAAACTCAAGCTTTTTGAAAAAACTTTCCTTTGAACTTTTGTCTGAGTTCTTAAGACAAGATATCTACATGGATATTTCTGAGGGGTTCCTTGTCAGTATTATCCTGCAGTGGGTGGATACAGATATAGAGCAGCGGCATGACCATCTACTGCCTCTTCTCAGACTCATCCGTTTCCCGTTGATCGATATTGAAGATCTGGCGTTGCTCCCTCCAAGTGTCACCAGCAGTCCAGAGATCATGGATGCTGTTGAAGAAGCCAAGCAGTACCACTATGACATCCCAGGACAGGTGATGAAAACTGACAACCGCTTCATGGCCCGTGGAGTGAGTACTGTCACAACTGTGTTGTCCATCAACACAGAACAGAATATTCTCTTGCACAAAGCGCCTGAAAAGAATGATTTTTTAATTGAAGAGCTGAACCAAGCAAATATAGAAACCGATTTTGAGACAACAGAGTTGGCGACAGTTGGCAACTTTTTATATGCGGTGGGTGGATATGATCCATTGGTAGTCAGCAGTAGGAGACTTTTCAGATTTGACCCCAAATACCGAGATTGGATTGAGCTTGCCATGATGGCCCAAGGTAGGGTGTCCTTTGCAATCTGTAACAACGAAAGTAGGATCTTTGTTTTTGGTGGCGTGGACCACAAGCTGTCCACAACTGGTGACACGGAAAGTGACACAATCTTGTCTTCATCAGAAATGTACGATGCATCTGACAACAGTTGGATCCCCCTCCCGAACATTTTGACAGCTTCCTACGACCAGGCAGCAGCCATTGCTGGGGACAACATCTTCATCTGTGGAGGGATCTCTGTAGAGCCCCATGACCCAATCCCAATGGGTTCTGCCTTCAAGTTGTCTCTAGCCACGGAAAGTTGGGAACCCATCAAGGACATGCTACAGGCTCGGAAGGGGCACAGTATGACCCATCATAACGGAAAGCTGTTTGTCCTGGGAGGGTACATGTCCACGGAAGTGAACACCTTTGTGGACTGCATGGAGAATGAGATGTACGACATTGAGACCTGTCAGTGGACTAAGATTATGAGGACCCCTGACTCGATCGGCCATGTCTTCAATGAGGCTAATATTCTCAATAACATGCTGTACTTTGTGGGGAGTGTTGGCGACAACTGCTTCCTTCATCACTATGACATCGCAGCTGATAAGATAGAAGAAGGTACCCTAATCGGACCGTTTGTGAAGAAGTTCTGTGTCTTACAAATGGCACTGCCACCTCAAGGTTCATAGTGAAGGCTTCCAGTTAGGTCGATACATTTATGCAACAGATCCATATTGTGAAACCCATAGTCATAGCGTGTTTCAAAATGCTAGAATGAAACATTAGTAGAGACGTTTAGATGATTGGTTGATCCAAAATCCATCTACCATGGAAATGCCTTTGTTGTGGACTGATGAACATGACTCGATGATTACTTTTTTAAGACAGTTGTACCCGATTGATTACTTGAAACGACCTGTGTGATGCTTTTACTGGTTACTGAGATTCAGAATCCAAATTCATGATCATGTGGAATTCTCACAACAGTGTATTCCCGAAAAGACTTTGAAGGTTTGCTGAAGAGCATTAAGAAGCTGATATTCAGGTTTAAGTGCCATGTTATCAAGATGATGAGATAGGCCATAGGTAGATGTGATGACTCAATGACACCAACAGACAAACAAAAGCCTCACTGACACCCTGAGTTTCAATCCCATCGTGAGTACAATTTGTGAAATGTTATCTATGCTGTCCACCATCTTGTTTTCTTTGAGATGAAACTATGTATAACAGTGTATAATGAAGGCAATGGATCTGATAACTGGGCCCCGTCTGTGGATAGTTTTTTTTACCTTGGCTGTTAACATTGTTAACTTGATTTATGAAAATTCTTTTAGCCTTTGTCATCCAATTGCTAATGAACGTAACTACCACTGAACTGTCTTTAGAATTTACATGGACTTCATTAATGGTTCATGAGCTTCAATAATGCTTAACTTGAAGATGTTGAAAATCAGATGCTTAATAGTAGGGGTGCCACTGCTCATTTTGTGTCCTTATGGTACATATAGGTAGATTAAGTAAACCTTAATCACATTGGATTGCTACAGGTTTTTGACCTCTGTTATTTGTTTGTTGTTTACGCCATACTCAGCAATGTTCCAGCTATCTGACGGTGGCCTGTAAATAATCAAATCTGGGCCCACTTGCACAAAGCGATCTTATCTTACCTGATACATTTGGTCGCTGGGAACCATTTCTGACCCGGAATCCCCACTGGGTCTTTGACTTCTGAACAACCGACCTGCCATTTCTAAGCAATATGCAAAGTGACAACCCTGATCCATATTTGATACCTGGTCCATTGGTTCTCAGCCAATGACTGCTGAAAATATACTGCGGGCAGGCAGTGGTTTTGGTTTTCTTTGCTTGTTCAAACTCGTATGTAACCAAATAAACCATCAACCTGGGAAAGGGCTTCCCTACGTTAATAAGCATGCAAACTCTATTGCTGCCATGACCATAACACAAGATGTGCAGTAAACCAGTGCGTAAAGGGAAGTAACTGTGTGCTATATTGGATTTTAAGTATTAGGATGTTTTCATGTTTTTAAAAAAATATGAATGAAACGTGCAGCAGACTTTATGATGATGGGAGTGGTGCCTGAGAACCAAGACTATTATGTTTTTTAGCCTAACATTGCCAAAATTACCACAGATACCAGGAAAGATGCTAAAACAATTTCTAAACAGATGTCTTCTCGTTCAACAAAAGTCTTGAGTAGAAATAATTTAAAATGTTTTTTTTATTCTTCCAATGTAGTGTTATATGTTCTGATGCCAAAATATTCATAATATTTACGGACTGTTTCCATATAGAGTTTATATTTTTAGTTTAGCTAAGAGCTGTAGGGTAGACGTGTGGTTAAAGCGTTGGCTTGTGTCATCACTCGGGTTTGATTCCCCTCACACACACGTGTGTGATGCTAGTTCTTGATCTTGCAATCCAGGATTTTTTAGCCTACTCTAAATTAGATACTAGATAATAATCATAAAATGTAAGAAAAGATTGTGGGGGATTACTGTCGACTGTTGATACTCCTGTAGATCAACTTAAGTCTGTTGACACTTGGTGGTCCTCATTGTATCAAAAGGGACCCATTCTTCATTCTGCCCTTTAGGTGAGATGAAGTGAAATGAAATGGGGTATAATGGATTTTCTGAGCACCAGGCAGGCTAATTTACCATTTTTTAACATCTCTATTAACAACATATATATAGAATACTAAACGAGCTCCCGTGTAATACCAATTTTATGAAACGAGTGAATAGTTGTGGTGTCTGACGAGCGAAAGCGAGTTAGATACCACAACTATTCCCGAGTTTCATAAAATTGGTTTTACACGGGAGCGAGTTTAGTATTTTATTTATTACTTGCCATTTATAACGTTTTTAGAATTATACTGTTGAGTGTACACGATCTGAGCACCAGGCAGGCTAATTTACCATTTTTAACGTCTCTATTAACAACATATACATTATTATTATTATATTCTACATTTATATATACCGCAGTAATCCAGGTAGTGTATCTGCTCAAATGCGGTTGTATTTGTTCCCCGATCAGTGGATCTGTTTGCATTCCAGTTATCATTCTCAGCTCCCTGGGGAAGAATATAAAATATGCACTATGCTTGCCAAAGTCTCAGAGAATACAATATATTTTCCTAATATATGAAAATTATGGTTATTATGAAAACCTGAGGGTAATAATCTCTCGATGTTAAATATTAACTCACTCACTCACTCACTCACTCACTCACTCACTCACTCACTATATATACACTATGTATAATGAACAAATTTCAACAGGCCCTTGGAGTTTGTGCCCACCATGTTTTCATGTATGTGAATGTAAAGACATGTTGTGATGTAAGCCGATCAAAGCGCCAAGAATTCTTTGAGTCCAAGGTGTGATTCCTTGATTCCATATTTCATGTACTGCCTTGCTATTTGTACATAAGATTTGTGCATAATGAACCACATGTGATGTGTTAATATATGGATATACTACTCAAATTTTCATAGGGGTATGAGATATTTCATACTATTTACTACACACACAACTACATAAACACTTGTGTATCGTGGAACTAATGGATTATCCCTATCAAAAGTTGAATAGTTGATGTGAAGGTTGTGAAACAGATATGACCATCTCTGGTGGTATTTTGTCCACACACTCTGGGAAACCCTGATAGTCTGGACTCTGTTAAACTGGAAACCTGTCTTGCAAATGCTGACTGTTGGCCACGTCTATCTATCCTACTCAAAGGGAGTTGAGGAACATCTGATTCTCTCATACTACAATAGTTAATCTGTCATGCAAGATGTAGAACACCCAATTCTTTCATATAACTACAGTTCATCTGTCACGGCATGACAGATTACTTTAGTAATATGAACGAATCAGGCTTTCTTTAACTTCTTTTGAGTAGAGTTTTGAATACACAAGGTAATCTTAATCCCTGGATATAAAACAATGCCTAGCAGAACAAAAAATACAATTTAAACGGTAAATCAACATGTCTGGTGATTTTTTATCTCAATTTTCGAATTTGTACTGACCAAGTTTCTCATCACCCGTTCGTTTGCCGGACTTCGCTAAAGGTATACAGTGTAATTTTTTTTCTGCGCTTGGCATTCAAATTTTTTTTTTTTTCCAAAATATTGGGGGTGCGCATTATACATGGGTGTGCACTATACTCAAGAAATTATGGTATATATTTTTAAGGCACATTATCATGTATCAATGATTTGTTAACCGGGAAACTTGTTGGTCTGTTATTTCAGTGTAGCTGGTGCTGTTCAGGTTATCAGGGTTGACGATTTTGTTTGATTATGATCATGATGACATGTATTATTGTAATGTTTACATCTTCATGCTGTTTCGTTAGTTTTAGATTCCTAGTTACATTTAGTGCACTTGTTTATGTTGCTTTTGCAATGTTGCGATATTGATGGCATTTGGTACCGGTTCTTTTATACAGATTGTTTACTACAGTAGTTAAAAAGGTGGTTGAGGATATGTCAGACAGGTAGGGGTGTCATTCATTGGAAAGTTTAGTATCGATACATCAACTCAAATGTATCATGATATATCAATATATTTTTCTTAACAAAATTTAGTTATTTCTGTATGTGTATAAATAGAAATTTATATCGAGACCTGCAATTAATCAACTTAATGCTAAATTTGAACTAGGCTTATCCATTAAATTATTTTGCCTTCTTATGCTCCATGTTACCCATTTTAAGTAACCTAGCAAATGTAAATATTTCTGTGGGAGTGGATCATTATTTTAGTATCGATATTCATAAATTTGTATTGATACAGTATCAACATTAAAATTCTATGCTGATATCCCTACAGACAGGAACCAGAGTGGAATGTTAGGCCACACCTCTTTCATTTTCGGGATTATTCATTATTAGCTTGGGTTGCTCAGATTTGCCATGGAGTTGTTTCGGTCAGGTTAGTTGTCGGTCAGGTTAGTATGAAAAAATAAATGTTAATACGTTTAAAGTGCAGGATGTTTAGTGAATATGTTTACTCTTGTGAAGGCTTTGTTCACTTTATAGGAGGTGTGTGGCGGCTAGAGACCATGTATGATGCATTTGATGAATTATTATTTAAAATATTTTCTTTTTTCAAATTCATATAAAAAAGAAGCATTTTATAATATGCTGTTGGCTTCAATTGGTTTTATCCATAACCTGATCAACTGAAACTGCCCTCATCTCAGCTAGGGTGGTCGGGTAGCATAGTGGTTAAAGCGTTCACTCGTCACGCCGAAGACCCGGGTTTGATTCCCGACATGGGTACAATGTGTAAAGCCCATTTGTGGTGTCCCCCGCTGTGATATTGCTGGAATATTGCTAAAAGCGGCGTAAAACCTCACTCACCCACTCATCTCAGCTAAATCAGCATGGGCCTGTTATGTTAAGTCATAGCATCATGGGATACGACATATCTTTTTCTCTGGAATGGTGGGGTAGCCTATTAACTAAGTGTTCACATGTCAAGCCTAAGTCAATGGTTTTATTCCAACGTGGGTACAATTTGGGAAGCCAATTCCTTGTGCACCTCACATGATCATCTTGTCACAAGTTGTGTGCATGGAACAGCTGTGTGCTGAAAGCACACCAGAGTTACCCCCCTTTAAACTTTCCATCCATAATCGCTCTGTTCATCTCAGTTAAATAGCACCTGGGCCTACACTGCCATGTGTCCATATTGGGCCTAGGTTTCATGAACACGTTTTGTGAATTCAGGCACTATCACTCTTCCATTGCTGCGCGAGGCACTGGGAAAGTGTTGGAACAAGTCAGGCGAACCTCAGTGCTGTATCTTCCAGTCTATCTTCAACTGATGATGAACATTTTGTCATGCAACTCAACCCAGCCCGCCCCGCCCCACCCCACACCACCCCACCCCA